CTATGATTCTATGATTCTATGATTCTAAGGATGTCAAATAGAGCTGATGAAGAATTAAGTTTTAGAAAGGACTGACAAATTAAAAAGTACTGTAGTAAGTCATCCTGACCAGATGATATTCAAACAAGATTTCTTAAATTCAAAAAAGGAATTGTTATTTTTTAAACTTAAATATGTGAATCACATTCCTTATCAGAAAGGACTGGAAGACAGCCACTGTAACAGTAATTATTTAAAGCAGGGACCGGCAACCTACGGCCTGGGATGAGTGTCGTAGTGATGCTCTTTGGCACCCAGCAGAATCTGCAGGACAAGCTGGCTGCTGTGATCCACAGCCACTTTTATCATTTTTACCACCAACTGGCTCAGCTTCCCTTCTTCAGGCAACTGTCTTCCTCAGTCAAGAAGACACATTGTAAAGTCCAAAAGCATAGCTTTATTAATGCATATAAAAAGTAAAAAATAAGATAACTAAGTAAAATCCATTGTGATGAACTTGTCCAGTTCAGCCATGAAAGATTACATCTTTAACAATCCAAAAGCATTAGGATCCAACTCGTTGCAGTTAAAACCACTGTTTTTAGCCACACATGCTCACATCTTGAACAATAAACAATTTAGACAATTTAGACAATTTAGACAATTTAGACAATTTAGACAAAGAAGATTCTAGGCCCTCCCATAATCCACCTTCTAGGTGTTAACCTTATGTTAATTGGATAATGTCTGTATGATGTATGCTATCCCAGCCTCTTGCTGTCCATCATCCACCACGTGACTATCTTTCCCATGCTAACGATGTTTACGTATTTGATATCTCTTGTTTTCTATAACAAAGTCTATGTCCACTAGTTCTACCTCTGGGAAAGTACATGTTGACGTCTGTGTTGGCCACCTGGTGTTGATTCACTTTGTTTCTCTAGATGTTGTTTGTGCTTTGCCCAAAAGCTGTTCTCAAGTGGAAAATTACAGACACACACACATCTTTACATTTCACCTTTGACTGTATATAACCCATCCATATCCTAACACTTTCGATAAAGGCTACAATATAAACATTTTGAGAAAGGCCGCATGGTATAGTGGTTTGCGTGTTGGACTATGACCCTGGAAACCAGGGTTCAATGCCCCGCTCAGCCATGAAACCAGCTGGGTGACCTTGGGCAAGTCACACTGTCTCAGCCTCAGGGGAAAGCAATGGCAAGCCTCCTCTAAACCAATCCTGCCAAGAAAACCATACAACAGAGTCACCACAAGTCGGAAATGACTTGAAGACATACACACAGCAACAACAACAACAACAACAACAAGCATTTTAATCAGTGAAGGGAAAATGAACTAACAAATATTGAGACAAAAATTCCAGTTCTCTGTATGGAAAGACAGGTAAGGACATCTTTATTCAAACAGAAAGTAAACTACAAAGTTGGGGAGATGGGGGACAGGCAAGGTTTATATATTCAAAAAGAATGAAGTGAAATGGGAGGGAGATAATTCTCTCTCTCTCTCATATACCACCATAAGTTCAGTCATCCAATAAAAGTGGACAGTAAATAAAATAACCAAATATTTTTCCTAGAATACTAATTAAGTCATAGAATGCCTTACCTAAATACAGCTACTAACATACTTCCAAGTATACCTAACAGATATAATGCATATAAATAATAAAAGAAATCTCAAAAGTGTCACTCAGAAGTGTGTGTGTGTGTGTATGTATATAGCCATGGATGGATGAATCTGTGGATGTGGTTCAGCTTTTGTTTTTCTTTATATCATGAGAACTGCCAGCATTCCTCACCACTAGCTATGTTAGCTAGGGCTGTTGAGATTTGCAGTCCAATATCAGAAAGACCACATAAGTCCTACTGTGTCATAAGTGAATGCCAGATATCTTGGTTTATTGTTCTGAGAATTAGGAAAAGATGGCTTTGTAGCAAACATCAAATTATTATTCCTCTTTACTCAGAAGTTTAAATAAACACAGAAATGGGAAAGAAACCTGAAATGCACACTACATGAAGCATCATCCCCAATTTATCACTAGCACTGAGCATCTTAGCATGCAAAGGTATACATATTTACTCACAAAAAGTCCCACAGAGTACAATGGGGCTAACTCCCAGGTGAATAAGATTACAGCCTTAAGAGCACATTTATTATTCCTACTTAGTTATGCACTGTTGTTTTATGCATTCAAATCAAGTTGTTTCAGACAGTGACCCTCAAGGAACCCTATGTTTTCTTGGCAAGATTTGTTCAGAGGGGGGTAGCCTTTGCCTCCTTCTGAGAGTATGTCTCTCAAGACATGAATCATTGGAAAAGACAATAAGACAGGTGGAAAGCAGTAGAGAGAAAGACACCAGATGGATGGACTCAATCAGAGAGGTCATAGACCTGAATCTAAAAGATCTAAATAGAGAAGTGAAGGATAGGGGGCTTGGAGATGTCTCATACACAGGGTCGCCATGAATTGAGGTCAATTTGAGGGCAGCTAACAACAACCTCTGATGATGAGAGAATGTGACTTGCTTAAGGTCACCCAGTGGTTTTCAATGGGTGAGCAGCAATTCACACCTGGTCTCCAGAGCGTTTAAGTTCAAACCACTACAACTTTGACTTTAAAAAAAACCTCAGCTAGAAAAGATTCTTTTTAATACCTGTATGTAATATTCTAAACACTTCATCTGATGTGTTAGGAATCATCTGAGGATGTGAACAACAGAACTATCTACCTTCTGCCCTCCCACTGGCTTTTCTGATAAAAATAGAAAATATTTTAAACTCTTTTTCTTAATCACACATATCTATCAGTCAAACCAGTGTGAGTATCCAAACACTGACAGCTTTGATCTAGTGGCCTTTCAAACAATCAGCTTTTATTTTACTGTTATTAATTTGTATCCTTTCCTACAGAAAACTCAGCATACTTGTTTTTCTCCTCTCCATTTTAGCCTTGCAAGAAACTTGTGAGGAAGATTAGGCCAGGAGCTAACAAAAAGCACAAGATTGCCCATTGAGTTCCATGACTGAATGGCTATTTGAAAACAGATCATCTCTGGTCTAGGCCAATGTCCGAAGGGACCTAGGCTACCTATCCCTATTCTAAACACAAAACTACAGTGAGTTCTCAGATATAAATAGTACATGCTGTGTTGGCTTCACAAATCAGAGAAATACCCAACAAAAAATGAACAGAGGTCAGGAGGTTTCAGTGTCACGCCAAAAATATTAAGGTAACTGAAAAGGAACTTCTGGTTTGTTGTCGTTGTTATGTACTTTTAAGTCATTTCTGAATAATGGTGACCCTAAGGCAACCCTATCATGGTGGTTTCTTGGAAGGATGTGTTCAGAAGGGAGTTGCCAACCAGTGGGTTTCTATAGCCAAGCAGGGATTCAAGTCCTGGTCTCTCAGTGCTCTAGTCCAACAAGCAAACCAGTACATCACACTTCTGTCTACATGTGGGTAAAAATACAAGTTCTAAAGAAGTGCCTGGAACATGCCAATATTGAATCCTTGTGTGTTGCAAGACACTATTAATGGGATCAGTTTCAGCCGCTGCAGCCTGAGAAGACAGACACTGTCCTTCGTCACCTTCGCCATACTGCGAGGAGCAAAAATGCACCCAGCTGGATAAGCGGAAGCTACTGAGGAGAAGGGCCCTCTTCTTGCTGCCATTAAACAGAAATCCATAAGACATAGCATAAAAACCTTTTAAAGAGTCTGATACCATGGAGAAAATTGTTGAACAACCTGGACCAATCAAGACACCCTCATAAGATTTAATATGCCAGAAGAAGCAGTAACCAAGCATACAATTGCTCACACTCCAATGTGTGCAACTTTATGTGCACACATTGTGAGCAACAAAGCGTTTCACACACTTTAAAGAGCTTCACATACTTGACACTTGGCTCAAACTGCAACAATCTCTTTGGACAACTCGATGACACTGTAAAGATGAAATTATAAAGAACTTCATCTTTGGTCCAAAATGCACTGCAGAAAAATCCAGTTTGAGACCACTTTAACTGCCTTGGCTCAAAGCTAGGGAATTTTGGGAGCTGTTGTTTTGGGAGACATTTAGTCTTCTCTGTCAGAGAGCTCTGGTACCACAATAAACTACAATTCCCAGGATTTCCTTGCACTGATCCCGGGCAGTTAAAGTCGTCTCAAACTGGATTATTTCTGCAGTGTGTTTTGGACCAACATCACTCACACAATACAGGACAGGTCCTATAATGAGCTTTAGCCTGCTTTCAGTCTGGTACAGCCTGAGTACTTCTTCAGGTTTTTTTTACCAGTTGTCCTGTTTGCTTCAATTATGAAAAGCTCTTATTATAATAATTAAAATGGCAGTATTATTAATGGGTATCGGAACAATTAGCATTCCCACTATCACTTTAATTCATTACACTGGTAAAGTGATGGAGGTGGTAGCAATTCTCAGTCATTTGAATTGGTTTTTAAAAATTATAAATTGGCACATTACTAATGAGTTACTAAAAATGAATACAATAAATCAGTTTTAAAAGTTTTTACTAAAATTATTAACACTAACAAATTAATTTCCAATCTAACATCAACAATAACATTTTAGAATTAATATTCATATTTTCCGACCTGTATTTAATGCATTTAAATCCTGCCTGTGGTCTTCCCAAGGACAAGTGTTCAGCCACTGCTTGAAAAGAACTGTGGCCTCCATAGGCCTCTGATCTAGTCCGAGAAGCCTCTTATCTTTTTATAAATGAATACATATCATTTCAAGCCAGTCATCTTATCTTCATTTCCAAAAAAGGTCACACAATTAATTAATTTAAAACAAGCAGCCAGGGAGACATTAACCTATCTGCTTTAACTAAATGCACACTGAAACAAACATTTTCAGGGTCTATCTAAAAGAAAACAGGGAAAGAGTCAACAGGGAAAGAGCCAAGCATACCTTTTAGAAAAGAATGCTTCCTAAATACAGTAGTCAGGAGGAACAAATCATGTTTCTTATGTCTATTAGCATAAGAATTATACCTCTTGGTAAACACACATGCTGGGCCTGATGATATTTATGCTTGAGTAGGGTCATTTAGGGGTGTGTGTTTGTGCCTTCAAGCTGTTTGTTGACTTATGGGTGTAGGCCCCCTAAATGATGCTGCTGTTGTTGTTGTTGTTACTCCTCTATTTACTTATATCACACCTTTTCCCAAATATAGGAACTCAAGGCGGTAAACAGCAAGTTCGCTCTTTTAACTCTACCCAGCATAACCAATGGTGAAGGATCATGAAATAGTAATACAATATCTTGAGGGCCTCCTCTAGTCTATGTAATACTTCAAATAACTTATTCCCAAGCAATTAACCCTAACACATACAATAACAATACAGTCAAGCCCAACAACATGACTTGACAACGATGTCAACAGGGAATACCTTTACCTTTAATGTATCCACAGATTCTTTATCCACCAATTCAATCATCCACAGTGTGAACATATCCCAACAAAATATAAATCCAAAAAGCAAACCTTGATTTTGCCTTTTCCAGTTTCTGCCAGGAAAGAGAAGGAAAGCAGTTTCTGGGCAGCCATATTGAGTGGGTGAGTGTTTAAATTCTTTTTAAAAACACTTGGGGAGAGTGTGACTGTTGCTGAGCGGGTGGAGCTTTGGTGAGTCACAATTGTGAGTCAATAGGGGTGGGGCTAGTCAATTAGCTCTATACAACTCCTCCCAGAGGCTTTCCAGGCCAGTTCCT